GCAAATGGCAGGAAAAGCAGAGGGAATAGAAGAGGAAAGCCAGGGCTTCCAGGGCAAAGCAAGCAAGCAACAGAGGCATCCAGGTAAGGGGAGGGACACAGGACCCAATCCCCAAGTGGCAGGAAAAGCAGAGGGGAAAGGAAAGGAAAATCAGGGCATCCAGGACAGAGTGAGTAAGCGGCAAGGATCCTGGTAAGAGGTGGGGAGAGAAGTTTTGAACAGCCAAGGAAGACAAACTTGTCTGTCAGTTTGTTGTGCTTTGGTGGCATGTTACTGTGAGGTTTGAGGCTGTGCCACCAGTGTTTCAAATGCCAGCGGGATTGCACATGTTACACAGGTTTCAGCGCAGCTTGCAGACTGAGACAGGCTAGGAAGAAGGAGGAGGCCATCCACTTCTCAAAGAATTGGCCAGGGAAAACCTTATGAATAGCAGAGAAACACTGTTACAATACTAGGCAACTATAAGAATAACCCAGATACATGCCACTTAGGTTAGAAGGCTCTCAAAATAGGACTGGGAAAGTGCTGCATCATAAGAGTAGAACCAACCTTCCTGATATGGATAAAGTAAAGCTTTCAAGACCTCCATTTCCTGACATGACATGACTCAAATTGAGGAGAAACAGCTGCAAACACCCATTAATGATCAGAACATGGAATGTACAAATATGAATCTAGGAAAGCTGGAAGTTTGCAAAAATGAAATGGAACACATAAAGATTGATAACCTAGGCATTAGTGAGCTGAAGTGGACTGATTTTGGCCATTTTGAATCAGATAACCATAGATCTACTACACCAGGAATGGCAATTTGAAGAGGAATGCTGTGGCATTAATCACCACAAAGGATATTTCAAGATCTGTCCTGAAGTACAATGCTGTCAGTGATAGGATAATATCCATACATCTACAAGGAAGACCAGTTGATACAACTATTATTCAAATTTATGTACCAACCAACCACCAAAGCCAAAGATGAAGAAATTGAAGATTTTTATCAACTTCTGCAGTCTGAAATTGACCAAACGTGCAATCAAGATGTGTTAATTATCACTGGTGACTGGAATGCAAAAGTTGGAAACAAAGAAGAAACACCAGTAGTTGGAAAATTTGACCTTGGTGACGGAAATAATGCTGGAGATCTCATAATAGAATTTTGCAAGAACAACAACTTATTCACTGCAAATACCTTTTTTCAACAGCACAAACAGCGGATATATATGTAGACTTTGCCAGATGGAATACATAGGAATCAGATTGACTACATCTGTGGTAAGAGGCAATGGAAAAGATCAATATCTTCAGCCAAAACAAGGCAAGGAGCTGATTGTGGAACAGACCATCAATTGCTCATATGCAAATACAACTTGAAGTTGAAGACAATTAAAACAAGTCCACGAGAACCAAAATATTACCTGGAACATATCCCTCCTGAATTTAGAGACCAGCTAAAGAATAGATTCAATGCATTGAACACCAATGACTGAAAACCAGAATTGTGGGATGACATCAAGAACATCATCCATGAACAAAGCAAGAGGTCATTAAAAAGACAGAAAAAAAGAAAAGACAAAAAATGGATGACAGAAGAGACTCTGAAGCTTCCCCTTGAATGGAGAGTTGCCAAAGCAAATGGAAGAACGGACAAGATAAAAAAGCTGAACAGAAGACTTCAAAGAGCGGCTCAAGCAGACAAAGCCAATTACTATAATGAAATGTGCAAAGACCCAGAGTTAGAAAACCAAAAGGGAAGAACATGCTTGGCATTTCTTAAGCTGAAAGAACTGAGGAAAAAATTTAAGCCTCGAGTTGCAAAATTGAAAGATTCTATGGGCAAAATATTGAATGATGCAGGAAGCATCAAAAGAAGATGGAAGGAATATATAGAGTCACTGTACCAAAAAGAACTGGTCGATGTTCATCCATTTCAGGAAGTGGCATATGATCAAGAACCAATGGTACTGAAGGAAGAAGTCGAGGGTGCACTGAAGCAATTGCCAAAGAACAAGGCTCCAGAAATTGACAGAATACCCATTGAGATGTTTCAACAAATGGATGCCCCTCTGGAGGCACTCACTTGGTTATGTCAAGAGATTTGGAAGACAGCTACCTGGCCAACTGATTGGAAGAGATCCATATTTGTACCCATTCCAAAGAGAGGTGATCCCACAGAATGTGGAAATTATCGAATAGTATCATTAATATCACACGCAACTAAAATGTTGCTGAAGATAATTCAAAAACGGTTGCAGCAGTATATTGACAGAGAACTTCCAGAAGTGCAGGATGGATTCATAAGAAGACATGGAACAAGGGATATCATTTCTGTCAGATGGATCTTGGCTCAAAGCAAAGAATACCAGAAAGATGTGTATTTGTGTTTTATTGACTATGCAAAGGCATTTGATCGTATGGATTATAACAAATTGTGAATAACATTGAGAAGAATGGGAATTCCAGAACACTTCATTGTACTCATGAGGAAACTACATAGACCAGGAGACTGGCGTTTGAATGGAACAAGGGGACACTGCATGGTTTACAGTCAAGAAGGGAGTGCACCAGATTTGTGTCCTTTCACTATACTTAATTCAATCTATATGCTGAGCAAATAATCTGAAAAGCTGGACTATATGAAGAACATGGCATCAGGATTGGAGGAAGAATCATTAACAACCTGCGATACGCTGACAACACAACTTTGCTTCCTGAAAGTGAGGATCACTTGAAGCATTTACTGATGAAGATTGAAGACTACAATCTGCAGTATGGATTACATCTCAATATAAAGAAAATAAAAATCCTCACAACTGGACCTATAAGCAGCATCATGATAAATGGAGAAAAGATTGAAGTTGTCGAAGACTCCACATTGCTTGGTTCTACAATCGACGCCAATGGAGGCAGCAGTCAGGACATCAGACAATGTATAGCACTGGGCAAGTTGGCTGCAAAAGACCTGTTTCAAGTGCTGAAGAGCAAAGATGTCTCCCTGAGGACTAGGGTCAACCTGAAACAAGCCATGATATTCAATGTCCTCATATGCATGTGAGAGCTGGACAATGAATAAAGACTGAAGAAGAATTGATGTTTTTGAGTTTTGGTGCTGGCGAAGAATGCTGAAAGTACCATGGGCTGCTAAAAGAGCTAACAAATCTGTCCTGGAGGAAGTGCAGCCAGAATGCTCCTTGGAAGTGAGAATGTCCAGACTTCATCTCACCTACTTCATGCTATCCAAAAGGACGATTCCCTGGAGAAGGATGTCATGCTTGGTAAGGTGGAGGGTTGACAAAAGAGAGGAAGGCCCTCAGCGAGATGGATTGACACAGTGGCTGCAGCTATGGGCTCAAGTATAGCAGGGATCGTAGAGCTGGTGCGGGACTGGGCTATGTTTTGTTCTGCTGTGCATAGGGTCCCTTTGAGTCAGAGACGACTAGATGGCACTTAACAACAACAACAAGCACGAAACAATCTTCTGGGAAGTTCACGCTCTCTCAGATGTATAGAATTCTGGTGTTGGGGTTAGTTGGTTTTGGCCACTCTGCCAAGCTCAAAAGAAGTCCTTCTAGAGGCAGAAGGAATCTCTCTGACTGCTGGTTGAGAGAGATGAGCTGCTGAAAGAGACGTGCTGCTAAGAGACAGACATGAGGGAGATGCGCTGCTGAGAGAGAGAGAGACATGCTACTGAGACTGCCAGTTGAGAGAGATAACCAGCTAAAAGAGACAGCTGGCTAAGAGAGACTGAGTATGTTCCTGAACTTGAATTGTAGCCTGTTGCTTCCCTAATAAACCCCATAATCTGTGCATTCTGTGTGGCTACGGCAGTGAATTATTGAACCCAGCAGAGAGGTGGTGGGTGCCATGGGAGGAACAGTTGGTGACAAGGTTGTTAAGAGGGTTGGAGAGTGGCAGCATTTCTGGCCTCATAGGAACAGGCCTTGGGCTGCTAATGGTAATTCTATCTTCCTCTTGTGGAGTTAGTTAGAGGAGATTGAAGTTGCAGCCTGCCTGCCCCTTTAGCAAGTGCTCTTAACCATTACTTGCACCACCAAGGACTGACTGACTGACTCTCTCTCTCTCTCTCCCTCTAGATATATATGCATACATACACATACACATATGCACACATACACACATGTGTTATATATATATTTTGCACACACTCAAATATATATACATAAACAAATATGTGCACATATATGTATGTGTATGTATATGTATATATTTGTGTGTATGTGTGTGTGTGCAATTATTCACTTATTTTCAGTTCTCTTTGGGTCCAAAAATAGATACAAAAAGTAAAATAAGTTTTAGCCCATTTGAGTGTGCTCTAAATAAGCAGTGAGTGTGTAACATGGGGCCAGGGCTGTGGCTGCACCTTCATCACTGCACATGTCACCAGGATTGATTTGGCCGATCTGCCAGCTGGGTGAATTGTGCCAACCCCCCTCTCCATCCCTCTGCTATCTCCTGAACAAGCTACATGCTCAGCCAAGAGCTTGATCATCCAGATTAGACTTATTTACTCACAGAAAGATACATAGCTCCATAGCCCTGAGTGAACTACTCAGTGTTCATTTTACTTTTTATAAACCTTTTCATATATTTTTTAAGACTTAACTGGTTTAAACTCAGAACATTTTGAAGAACTTGGGTTTGCTAATTTTTCATATAAAGGTGCCATACTGCAAGATTGGTAGCTTCCTAAATTGTCCATATCTGTATATGTATATTCGGAAGGAAGGTTGGGCAATCTACTTCCATAGTGATACCGCCTCAGAAACCCAAGGAGGGGTCACTATGAGTCGGACCCAAGTCGACAGCAGTGTGTTTGGTTTTGGTTTGTATATATGCCTTTAGGAAGTTGATGTCTTCCTTTAATCAGTCTTTATCACATGTCCAATAGCACATTATACTTGGATATTGATCTCATTTGGAACATTAATGTTTTGATCATTATCATCTAATGTGAGTGACTATATCCTTAAGTCAGGTTTCAGATATCTTGGTCAATATGTTAAAAAAGGAAAAGAAGAAAGCTCAGGATGCTCTTCACTTATGTGGCATGGATAGAAGTGAATTTAGACACTCACAGAGCTCTCCTTTCCCACCTGGGAAAGCAGAAGAAACTCAGAGGATGTTGCTGTCTTCAGCTCCCAGACAGGCCCAGGACATCAGCCCTTCCCAGCACAGATCCAGTTTGCTCCACAAAAAAACAGGTCAGTTGTTTAAATTCCCAGTATTCCACTTTGTCATTAATGGATTTCATTCAATGTAGCATCTTTAAAGTGTACAAGAATAAAAGCTCTAGCAATGTATTTGTTAGAATTATTTTTCATAACTATCACATCTTTTAAGTTAAGTACCCATAAAAAAAAAAAAAAAAAAAAAAGCCATTGAGTCAATTCTGACTCATAGTGACCCTATAGGATGGAATAGAACTGCCCCCATAGGGTTTCCAAAGCTGTAATCTTTATGGAAAAGACTGTCACATTTTTCTATCATGGAGCAGCTGGTGAATTCAAACTGCCAACCTTTCAGTTAGCAGATGAGTGCTTAACCACTATGCCACCAGGGCTCCTTAAATTAAGTACCAGTTTCCCAAATTGATGACCTTACTGATGAGAACATCTATGAAACTGAGAATAATTTATGAATTTTCACAAAGTTCAGAGGCAGAAATAGATAGGTCCAGGGCAGTAGTACAAAAATTAACTCTAGAGAAAACAAACAAAAATCTTATTCTGCTATAGAAGGGAAAGAATAAGGACAGATGTTGGGTTCCTGCTGTGATGATGCAGTGCTTATTTCTAAATCCCAGTGAGCTATCTGCAGCCAAGCTGTTTAGAAAATGTGATTATCACAGTCTATTTTACAGGACTCTAAATGGACACAATAGAATCATCAGATAATAGAATTTGACAGGGTTAGACCAATTCAGAGGCACACTCCCCATTTCCAATTTCTGGTGAATGTGTCAGGATCTTTGATACAGAGCAGCACTAGAAGCCCAGGTGTGTTTGTGCACATTTCTTTCTGTTAGACCAGCAGAGACCTATGTCCAGCCACATGAATGATGCCTTTCTCTTGAAGACACTGACAAATCTGAAGGATGGAAGGTCCTAGAATCGAGGGGTGAAGAACTTCTGTTTTTGGCAACATTTGTTGAAATTCTCTTCATAAAACTTGTTGGGATGGATAGCTGACATGCATGGTTTTCTGAACGATTTGGTTTAGGAATAACTAAGGAGTGTGGTGCTCATTAAGAAGGACTTTTTACAAAAACCTAATATAGACAACACTGAGAAGAGTGGAAATATATTTTGTAATATTATATTCCTTTATCTCTTAATTCCAGATCTCTTTGCTTGAATATTTCTTCAGCAACACAGTAGAAATAATTCAAAATCTCAAGACACCAAAATTCTATTTTTACTGTTTATCATGGTGGCACTGTTGTTGTTGTTATTTGCAGTCGAGTCAGACCTGACTACAATGATTCCTCTTTGTGATTGTTTTCCATACAGATCTACTGTAGTCTCAGGATAACAGCTGATTGGGAACAAAGAGGCCTTCTAGATTGGTGAATTCATTAGTTCATCCATCCATTTATTCATTTCTTAATTTACTTATCGTATATATTTTGAGCTCATACCTTTTTCTAGGCACTGTGCTAATTACTATTGTTGTTGTTGTTCCTGCCAAAGCTTTCATAGCCCTTGTATATGTCAGGCACTGTCCTAAGTGCTCTACTTGAACTGATTCATTTTATCCTTGTTCTATGAGATAGGCTCTTGTTTTACCACTGTGTTACAGGTGTGAATGTAGATGGATAAACACCACCTCTGATCCTAGAGCATTTACAGACTGATATAATACAGTGTCATTGAACAATCGATTCCAAACTTACGCCTGTGTATTGCTGTGGGAGCCCATACCAGGGTGCCCTATGTCAAATTAAGAAAGAAAGATCCAAAAAGAGTAGTAGGAGTGGGAAGGTGGTTGGAAGGAATATTGCAAGCAGAGAGAATAGCATAATAAGTTTTGAGACCTGTGGTTGGTAAAGAGCATTTCAGGAAGTGAAAAAGCAAGGTATGGTTGGGATCTGGGAAGTGAGAGGCTGGGAAGTCAGACTAGTTGACATATGTATAACAGATTGGCAGACTCAAAGATAGAGGGTGGTGGGGTCAATGAGAGTAAGGTAGGAGGATCAGAAGCATTTAGGAGGTAGCACGGACAGAACATAGTGATTAAATGGGTAAGGGTGAAGATTGGTTGCCAGGTGTCTGGGAGGGGGGTGTGTGAAACTTTTTACAGAAGTAAAGAACAGTGCCTCCTCAGTGCCTCCTAACCTTACCATAGTTGGCACTGTTGGTGATAGAGAATGTGTTGGCATATCTACTGAAATGAAAGGTCACAATCAGTACCTATGTTAGAATCTTGTGGCTCCTGGTGGAAAGAAAACTGCTTACTGGCTTTTTCCAGGGATACACAATCCTGTGCCCATGGAGAAATGGCCTGAGATAATACTGCCCAGCCTTTTGCCGTGTGCCAGACCTATTCTATTTCTTCTGACCCATACCATCTCCCATCTCATAATTCTTCCCCACAGCATCTCAAAACCTCCCTTTACCTCATAATTTTAGTCAACTCTTTCAGCAACTCTTTTCCTCCCTTGATACTGCTGTCAAGATTAAGGTTTTGTTTGGAGAATGAACGAAGTTTACTTGAACAGAAAATTCCAAAAAAAAAAAAAAAAAAATGCAAATCGTGTGTAAAGTTCAAGTACAAATGAAGTGAAAGAGTTTTGGGGTTTTTGAGTTGTTATAACTGTGATTGGCTGTAGTTCTAGCAATAACTAAATAAAGATAAACTCATGAATGGACTGATAATGATCTAACCCTTTTGAGGAGGGATTGATGGAGGAATTTATTTTATTTTTTTTGGCAAGACTACAAATGGGATGAATATTGTTGCAAATAAATCAATGCTGCAAAGCAACAGTAATGAGATATTCATTACAGAGTTCAAAGTTCTAAAGGATGATTAGGCTTTTATTAATATATACAAGAAGCTTGTGTAAACTAAACCAAATGCAAAAAATTAATATGCATGCTGTTTTGAAGGTATTTCTGCCTTACATAGGTGTTTTCAGATTCTATTAACCATCCTGGGGGTCTTGTTAGTATTGAAAGCAAATAAATTTGACCATCTTCAACTCAGCCTGTTGGGAAGCTGTCTCTCCTCCGTGACCCATACTCCCTTCATCCATTTAATCCCACCTTAAGCTAAAAAGGAGCTCTGGTGGCATAATGCCTAAGGCATTTGACTGCTAACCACAGTTGGTGGTTCAAACCCACCAGCCACACCGCGGAAGGAAGACTAGGCAATCTACTTCCATAAAGATTTACTGCCTCGGAAACCCAAAGGGGATCTCTATGAGTCGGAATCAACTCGATGGCAGTGAGTTTGGTTTTTATGCTAAAAAGGACTCTTTTCAAATTTCTTGTGTTAAAAGAAAATGAAACAGAATTCATGGTTCACCAGAGAGCTGTGTGCAGTTGTTCTGAAAGCTGCCTGCCAAGCCAGAGAAGGTTAAGACTTTGGGGCTTTCTGTTGTTGTTTTGGCGGTTAAATATTTTGGTTTCATTGAAATAACAAGAGGGATCATTCAGCTCCACAGTGTGAAAAGAGTCATATTTTTCTTCTTAAAATAGCAACAGTCAAAAAGTTTTGAGATTCTTTTTGTCTGTTTATTGTTTTTCTGTTTTAGTTGTCTGACTGCCTGTTCCAAATAGTCACCTGGAACCAGTCAGTATTCCAAAGGCCGCTGATCACTCATCACATCCTTTAATTGTTTGAGATGCTAACAGACCCACTCACCACAGGTGATGATGTCACTGGCATTTTAAGAGGTGAATTGAAAGCCAAAGCTTCAGCCAGGAGTCTCCAGGCCCTATTATATTACTCACTCTGTGAGAATTTTTTGAATCTCCACTATTTGCATGTAAGAACCCAAGAGAAGTGTAGTGGGTACAGAGGTGAACTGAGAAATAACCCTGGCCAAGAGGGGGTTTCATCAAACTCAAAGAACAAAGAACAGAGAATAAAGTAGCAAGTGCCCCAAGTAAAGGAAGTGCTATAGGAATTCAAAGGAGAAGGGGAGGACTTTGATAAGTAGATCAGGAAAAGTGTTACAGAGCAGGTGACATTGAAGTTAGGGCTCATTGTTAGGATTAGTAGATTTGGACATTCAAAGATGAAGCGAAGAACATTTCATAACAGTCATGAATTTGAGAAATATTGTGAGCAAGAGCTTGGGGACAGGAAAGCAAGGGGAAAATATGTAGAATAGTAAGATTTGTTTAGTTGAGGCCTTGGATGTGTACAATAAGTGAAACAAAATAAAGCTAGAAAAATGAATGGAAAACTGTGAAGGAGAGAGTAGAGGAACAGGTGGGAATGTCTCCTTTGTATGCTTTTGTATTATTTGTTTTCTTATCCTTCTTTATTGATGAGTGTGGCTGTGTTACAGAAATCTTTGAATGCCAAACCAGGACATTTTCTTCATATGGTTGTAACAGACAATCTACTAAGAAGAGAGGACATGGTGATAATTGTCCTCTGGTGCTCTAGTGACGTAGTCCCTAAGGCATCTGACTGCTAACCAGAAGGCTGGCAGTTCAAACCCACCAGCCACTCCTCGGAAGGAAGGTTGGGCAATCTACTTCCATAGTGATAC